TTTATAATGGACGAGAAAGAAAGAGGAAAAGACAACAGAAAATATAAAGACAAGTGGTTGTTCAAGCAGGAAACCCTATAAGATTTCAGATAAGTGGCTATACAGTCTCTTCTTAAAAGCCTCCAGTGATGGATCACCTACAATTTCTGAAGGCAAGTCATTCTATGGTTAATTGTTCTCACTGTCAGAAATGGATAGAGGCTTCCGCAGAAAACATACTCATACAATCATATATTAATCCAAGTCTGTTTATCTCTTTTTAGACACGGTCAATTGTTTCCATTGTCCAGAAGATCACTATGCAAGCAGAACTAGAGACAGATGCTTTCCTAAAGTAATAACCTTCCTTTCCTACACAGAACCTTTGGGGATTATTCTCTCCTCAGCAGCCTTTTGCTTTTCTTTTACTACAGTCTTGGTACTTGGAATATTTATTACATACCAAAATACTCCCATTGTCAAAGCCAACAACCGAAATCTCACCTACATTCTCCTCCTTTCCCTCCTCCTCTGCTTCCTTTCTTCTTTGCTATTTCTTGGAAAACCTAACAAGGTGACCTGTTTTCTCCAGCAATCTGCTTTTGGCATCATCTTCTCAGTAGCTATTTCTTGTGTGTTAACCAAAACTATCATGGTAGTTGTAGCTTTTATGGCTTCCAAACCAGGGTCTAACATGAGAAGGTGGCTTGGAAGAAAAGTTTCTATCTTCACTATTCTTGTAAGCTCCCTTATCCAAGCAGGCATTTGTGTGGTGTGGATGACAACTTCTACACCTTATCCAGATTTGGATATGCAGTCACTAGCCAAAGAGATCATAGCAAAGTGCAATGAAGGTTCTATCATCATGTTTTATTTTGTCCTGGGCTATATGGGATTTCTATCCATCATCAGCTTCACTGTAGCTTTCCTCGCCAGAAAGTTGCCAGACACTTTCAATGAAGCAAAGTTCATTACATTTAGCATGTTGGTGTTTTGCAGTGTTTGGCTGAGCTTTGTGCCAACGTATCTGAGCAGTAAGGGAAAATACATGGTAGCTGTGGAGATCTTCTCTATCCTAGTCTCCACTGCTGGGTTACTTGGTTGCATCTTTTTCCCCAAATGCTATATAATCATATTGCATCCTGAACTGAACACTAAGGTACAACTGATAAAGAGGAAGAAGACCTGAGATTCCATGTTACATTTTTTTCCTATGGGGAAGCCATTCAGCAGGAAGACTTAGATAGTCCAGTTTCATTGCTGGATTAGATATGTGCCTTCAACTGCAGTTATGTACTTGAAATTAGTATTCTTTATAAAGTACAAGGAATGAACTAAACTGTGGATGAGCATGGTCTTCTCTGCAGGAAAGCAATGAACTATATTTTAATTCACATACAGTAATGGTCCTTGCTTGGTTTTGATGGAGATCAACAGCATTTTAATGTAACTTTTTTTGAAGTGAAGTATGTTAAAGATGCATGAGATATTAAAACTATGGGTTTTAAGGAGAGTTCCCATGCAAAAATAAACATTTACAGCCTGGCTTGTAAGGAGAAACACAAAGGGGGACATTAGAAACTGAATAGTTGTTTTCTCTTCTTTTTCCCCTTCCTCTTTGTCCCTTTTTTCCTCTTTATTTTCCAGTATTTTAATTGGAGTTAAATTTGCTTTATCTTCAATTCTCCTTTTTTCAATATGTACAAAGAACATTAAGTGACAATTCAGACTTCAAAGCTGAATGCTTAAGACAAAAATCTTTATTTGCAACAAATATATAATGAAGTCTATAGAATTTTTTTTCAAAGTTACATTCACTTCTGGGTGGAAAAAATATATACCATATTTTCCAGCGTATAAGGTGACCCAGTGTATAAGACAACCCCCAACTTCGGCGCTGAGTTGCATGCCTAGAAAGTCATCTTATACACCGGAAACTACCATTATTTCCAGCATATAAGATGACTCGGCGTATAAGATGACCTCCAAGTTTGGCGCCGATTTCAACACTTTGGAAAGTCGTCTTATACGCCGGAAAGTACAGTAATTTACATTTATTAACACTAACATTATAAATATAATTTATATAGTTATAATAGTTTTTGTCTTTTTAAATCCTCATTGTCCTAAGTTATCCAGGCACTGGTGTGCTAATCATTTTAAACATCATTGTATAAATAGTATTGTGTCAAAACAATACAATGTAGTATGCAAGTTTCACAACAATATAAATAAATATAGGGCAATATTGGAAGAAGGATTGTTTGCCTACCATAGAAGAATGGATGCTTAAAGTGTCAAACTTAGCAGAAATGGCTAAGATTTCTGCATATTTGAAGGATTATTCACAAGAAAGATACATTTCAGTTTGGAGAAAATGGATAGATTATATTCAGAATAAATATGGGACTAAAAAGTTTCATTTATTTTATGAATAAATTTTAGAGTATTATTATTGTTGTTATTATATTATTATTATTATTAGTTTAGAAAAGTGGAAATTTTATGATATTGTGTTGTTTAGATATTAGGATTTTAATTTGTTTATATGATTAAGTTTATTCTTAAATTGTTTACTTTGTGTTAAAAGAGAGTTAAAGCACATTATATTTGTTTATCTATATAGTTGGTTAATGTTAGCTAGATTATGATTATTATATTTATTACCCTGTGTTCAGCTCTAAGAAGTGGGGGAGGGGTCGGGGGGGTCGGGGGTTGGGTTTGGGATATATTTTGTAATTTTTTGTAAAACTTTTCAATAAAAAACAATGTAAATAAATAAAACGAAATTGCTTACAAAAAGAACTGCAGATTTTGATACATAGTGATTCAAAGTAATAATATTTAATCTTTAAAGAATAAAAATGCTGATATATGGATGTTCCCTTGTAACTACATTGAGTAACTCCAATGTATATGAAGTATATCAGACTTGCAACAATAGTCTGCCCCCACCTACTTGGTGTTTGAATATTGGTGTTGTTATTGTTTTGGACATAGAGATGAGATCAATCAATAGGGTTAGCATATTTAGATTTCTTTTGCCTGGAAGATAATTTTTGACACCATTTCTTTCTCTTTTATTTTTCTTCTCTTTTTTGATCATGGTGATGATAATCAAAGTAGTATCATTTTATTAACACTGTTTTATATTTAACACAATAGAAATGGAATAAAAATATGTGCTGAATGGATTTTATTTATTCTGTGGGTGCAATTTGGGGGAAGTTAACCAGATGATCCTCATTTGCAGGTTAATAATGGGAATGAAATACAAATTTCAGTGGGAAAAAAAACACTTGCATAAAATATCTGCATTTTGATATATTTCCTATTTAGCAATCACTTCTTAGAAAATTAAACTAAATAAATCCCCCCTCATCAACACACTACAGTGATTTTGGAAAGCACAGTTTTTGTGGTTTATAAATTTCATCAAGGAACAAAACAGTGAAAGAAAATTTTGGTCATGCTCCAAGAAAATGTTTCCCTTCTTCCTTCTACATTTTATTAATCTGCAGTCTAATGCAATTCCTCCATATTTCATTTTGTTGTTGTTCAATTGCTAAGTTGTTGTCCTACTCTTTGTGACCTTTGTGGACTCCATGGACCACAGCATGAGATTTTGTCCTCAGACAAACATGTGCCATAGATTAGGATGGATTCTTCCTGGTGCATCTGCTTTCTTCCAAATGCTAAAGGAAATGGAGTCTGGCTTCCCAGCATGCATTTGTTTTGGGAGTAAGAGCTGATGGGTAAAAATCCAAACAATACAGATTGGTATTTGACCCCTAGCCACTAGATGGGTCTACAGAACAAAAACAGTATATACACATATTATATGCTGGGGCCTGACAAATTTCTTGAGAAATTAAGTTCTCTTGAGGCCATTCTCAGTGAGTTTTCAAAGGAGCAACAAAGAAAATGATCACAATTTCAGAATATTAGAACTACAGAAACTAGTTTTTCCTTGTCTCCCACCACCCAACCATTGGCATTCCATGTGACAAGCCTGCTTCTTGTGTGAAAGATGGGGATATACAACCCCTGAACTTAACAACCACTGCTTAATGACTGTTGAAAGTTATAAGTGATATACAATTGGTCCTCAGACTTGTAGCATCTCCATGATCACATGATCAAAATTACTAACAAGGGGCAAAGCATCAGTGGAATTAAGAATTTCTATGTCTTCGATATACATAGAAAATCAGCAGTACCTGCTCAGCCAACAATCTTAGTAGCTGCAGAATTGTTCATTGCAATGTGAGGGTACCAATGTGTGTTCGGATCTCCTCGTACAAAGATAGCTAGGCAAATGATTGAAGTCTTGGAAATGGGCCCCTTGTCAGTCAACAGGAGTGCGTATCAGATATTTAGGAGCTGAGGGCTTGGCAGCACAGAGAAACAACAGCCAACAACTTAATAGCTGGCCATCAACAACTAACAAGCCATCTATATTAACAACATCTATAGATTATGCAAAAGAGACAGTCAATAAGCCCACAAGACAAACAGATTCCAGCACCTCTCCACCAGTAATCAGTGCTCAGATCAGCAAAGATTAACTCCAAGGTCAACTTCAGACCATCAGTCAAGGAAGCAACACCTCAATCAAGAAACTGCCACAGAGCAATCAGTAAACAGCCCAATCAAAGAATCCCTAAGACTGCCCCCACCCACACAGACAGGCAAGACACCAGAATATAAACAGACAGCAAACAACACTCTTTACTAGCATTGATAGTGAAATGTCTGCAAGATAACAAGCTCAGAGATCACCAAGGACCCCTCAACTAAAAAGCCACACACAACCAGGCTTCACGTAAATACTACGCATAGAATAACCCAAAGCACACATTCTGGTAGACACAAGTTCCCAAGGATGGGCTCCATCACAAATCCAGAAATTTGAAAGACTAAACCTCTGGTCTCAATGACCAATCCAGACTGGATTCTAGACCTTTATTGCTTTTAGTGATTATCTACTTCAGCTTTTGGGAAAGAAGGATCCTCATTAGTTAGCCACAGTGGAAGAAGACAGTTTTATTTGTCCCCTTCCTTTAATATCATAAGCCACCAAAATTTAAATAAGTAAACAGCACATAAAAGATGTAAACAATTGAATAATTGAAATTTACCATAATTGAATTATTGTAACATTTAAGCATTTCAATTTGCCAGAGAAAATGGAAGTTGCTGTGGAGGAACTTGGATACTCAGATTCTTGAAGGACCAAATGTATTTTGACACCAAGGGAAAACTATTTTTTTATTTTAATTTTTAATAATCTCAAGGAAATTGTTGGATAATCTGTCAATATCATGGCTGCAACCACAGATATTACTTCAGTCTTGATCAGACATCATATTATAAAGCCTTATCATTGATGCCATGATGTAAGGGGTTCTATAGAACTTCCCCTCACCATCCATTCCAAAATAACTTTGCAATTTTAATTGCCTTCAATATCAACACATATTTCTCAGGCCTGCACATATTCTGTATGCCTCAGCTTAATCCCAAATTCTTCAGTTCTTTTTAATACTTTGCTCATTACCAGGCCAGGTAACATCTTCAGCAGAGTTTAGGGAATGTCAGTGTTAGTGCTCCTCTGTTTATAAGGGCTTCATGTGTGGGCATGTCAAGTGAGGGTCCTGTGATGGGTCATGTGTGAGTTATCAGCGAGAGGGTTGTGGTGATCTTGTGATGGGGAGGTTACATCAGGTCAAAGTCACTGGGAGGTGCTGGTGGGACAGGAAGGGGGGCTTGCATAGGTTGGTTGAGGGTTGGTGCTGTCTCTGGTTGGCTATGCAGTTGATTTGGATTCTGAGGAATCTTTTCTGAGGTAGTCTTTTTAGAAACTGTTGTTGTATATTCATTCCGTTAAGTCTCTCTCTCTCTCTCTCTCTCTCTCTCTCTCTCTCTCTCTCTCTCTCTCTCTCTCTCTCTCTCTCTCTCTCTCTCTCTCTCTCTCTCTCTCCCCTCCCAAGATATACAAGCGGAGGGAAAATCTAATGCTCTGTTTTACTTCTTATAAAGAGTGGTGCCTATTAAAAACAATCATTTAGAATTAAATGTATGAAGAGCAGGACTTTACTTCAGTCTTTTGTCTTCTAATTTATGAATCCAAATTCCTATTTCTGAACAACGGTGAACAGCTGCTGTGAAGAAAGGAATATTTATGTGCACTTCCTTTCACTGTGCCTGAACAATAATAGACTGCTGTGTCTTCAGATTTGAGGTTGTTCATCTGCAGATACAGCTGGCTTTTGGCATTGTCTCTGGAGACAGTGAAGCGTCCCTTCACTTTGTCTGAATAGTAAATACTAGCTGAACTTGTTTGTATATAAGAAATCCATTCCAATCCTTTCTCTGAAGCCTGTCTCACCCAAACCATCCACTTGCTGCTGAAGGTGAATCCAGAGCCTTGGCAGGACAGATGGAGGGACTGTCCAGGCCTTCTCATGTTCCCTCCAGACCCCACCAACTGGGCTTCAGATTGGACACCTGGAAAGAATAGGATAGGATGGGATGGGATGGGATGGGATGGGATGGGATGGGGTGGGGTGGGGTGGGGTGGGGTGGGATAGAATGGAATGGAATGGAATAGAATAGAATAGAATAGAATAGAATAGAATAGAATAGAATAGAATAGAATAGAATAGAATAGAATAGAATAGAATAGCTTTATTGGCTAAGTGTGATTAGACACACAAGGAATTGTCTCCGGTGCAGAAGCTGTTGATGTACATGCAAAGCAACAGAGTAATAATAATCATAATAATGATACCAATAAGAGAGGATAGTAGAGAACATAACAAGTATAATAATAATGTTACAACCATACAACATGGGTTAACCGAGAATTAGGGATTCTACAGACTGATGGCACTTGAGAGAAAAACTGCCTCTGGGTCTAGTTATTTTGGCATACAATGCCCTATAACAGCATCCTGAGGGGAGGAATTGAGACAATTTATGTCCAGGATGTGAGGAGTTTGTAGATATTTTCTCAGCCCTATTTCTGATCCGTGCAATATACAGATCCTCAGTGGAAGGCAGGCTGGATGCAATTATTTTTTCTGCAGTCCTAACTATACGTCAGACTGTTTAGTTGCTGTACCAAACCGGATAGTTATAGAAGCAACAATGACAGACTCAATAATTCCTCTGTAGAACTGTATCAACAGCTCCTGGGGCAAATAGGTTGTATAAGCATAACTGCAACCAGAAAAGAAGAATCCTCTTTTTGCATGAGAAAATTTACCTCTGTGAATTGTGAGCAAGAATGCCAAGCTTAGCCAAAAAGCCATCTTTGATCAGTCAGAGGAGAATTCTGTGGAATGCATTCAAACCTCCATAAACTCTAAAGGTTTCTGCATTTAGCCCGTAGAGAAAGCTGCTTCACTTAAAAAGGAAACTGTACCCGAATTTACATATCCCTACTAATAAAAGGACTTCTCAGTTCTTATTCTCCACATTTCTTTGATTGTAGATCAAAGAAATCATTGATCAAAGAGGTAACTCAATTCAATTATATTACTTTAACTACTAGGAATTGTTTAGTGGTTATTGGTTACTTTTCTTTACTTTTTTGTTTTTTTAAAAAAAGTTGTATTGCTTTTATTTTCTTAAACACTCTTCATAACAGTATGGACTGTTTAAAGGAATGCAGAAAAACAGATAGAATTTCCATAAAATGCCTATCAAAAATGAAATATAACATCTCAATACTGAATGGAAATGGTTCAAACTCAATTCCACTATCCAGAAATTGAATAAACCAAATACTATTGGTACAGCCCCATGATGGATTAAACAATGCTCAATAAAACTGGGATATTGAGATATTTTTCTTAAAAGATAATTATTCTAAACACGGCTTTACTTTACCATAATCTGTTGAACAATTGGAAGTGGATAGAAACATTTTTCTAATATTAAGGAATGGGTGGTAAGTGTGCTGATAATCTACTTTTGAAATGTTTTCATATTCTAAAATGGCTTAATATTTTATCAACAACATATTGTCTGGGTTTCCAACATTTAACTTACAAATATATGTTAAATTCCTTTCTCTCTACCTCATTTTTCTAGCCATTGGTAAAAAGTATCCCATATTCTAAAATATACTGAATCTTTTTTCTCTTTCATTTTCAGTGTCAATCTATCCATTTATGCACAATCTATTTTTTTTTAATTAATTCTTCCTCTATTGGTAAATCTTCATTTTTCCAATGTTGAGTGAATACAACTCTTGCTGCAGTTAATACATATAAAATTAGATATATACACTCTTTCTCATAGTTTCCTATAATTATGTCTAACAAAAATAATTCTGGCTTAAAATCTATATGTTTTTAGTAATTTTCTCTAACCATATGTGCATTCTTTTTTTTATTTAAAAATTTTATAAATTTATTTCAATATAAACCCCCCACCCCTTCCCCCCTCCCCCACTTCCCAGAGCTGATTACAGGATAAAAAATAAAATAAACAAACATAACCTAACTAACATTAATCAACTATACTATCAATCAAAACCATAACACACTTTAACTCCTTCTCCCAACAAACCATATGTGCATTCTTGACCAGAATCTTTTGGCTTTGGGGCAAGTAGAACTATACATTTCTATATGGTCAAGGCACTGAGTAATTTTTTAGTTAGTTTCTTTTCTAAATGAGGTTTCTATAATGTATAAAGTTTTATCATTATAAACACACCATTTATAATAATGTTGCTTTTTTTGATAGTCTGTTATATTTCATGGATAAAAAATACAAAAGTAAAAGATAAAAATTTCCCTGTCTAGTCATGTCTGATTTCTGGACACAGTGCTCATCTCTATTTCTTGGCTGTGGAAAACCAGTGTTGTCCATTTTCTGTGGTAATACAGCCAGCATGATTATACACCAGAGGTGGATAGAATGCTCTTACCTTCTCACCAAAGTCGTACCTATTGATCTATTTGCATTTTCATGCTTTCAAACTGCTAGGTGGGTAGGAGCTGGGCAAGTAATGGGAGCACACCCCATTGCACAGAGCTCAGGTCTCAAACGCAGCTGTCAGCACCCCAGCTGAAAAGCTCACCGTATTTAACTGCTGAGCCATTACACCCCTCTAAAAACATATAAGAAAAAAATACAAAACAAACACATGAAAAGAACTACAAGCTTCTGATTCTCAAGTCGCTTCAAGAATGAAGAAGGGCTTGTGGTAGTGCAGTGATTAGAATGAAGTATTGCAGGCTAATTCTGCTCACGGCCAGCAGTTCGATCCTGACCGGCTCAACTCAGCCACCCATCCTTCCAAGGTCAGTCAAATGAGGTTCCAGATTGTTGGGGACATTGTGTTGACTCTGTAAAGTGCTCAGAGAGAGCTGTAAAGCACTGTGAAGTGGTATATAAATCTAAATGCTATTACTATGGTTATTGTTTGACCTGGAACAGCCTTGGAGAGCCAGTGCCTGTCAACAGAAAGAGAACAAAGTCTGAAGGAAAATTATATATGGCAGATCCACAACAGTACTGGGCCTTGGGGCAATTATGGGAAATGGTGCAAGGCAGCCTTTTTGGATAGCAACTGTAGTGCTAAGGCTGAAGTTTCTGCTTGTGCCTTGATTCAGGCCAAGAATTGGCATTGCCACCAAATATCTATGCCCAGGATCCTAAATGGGGAATGGGGGAGATATAGAGAATTGTTTCTCTTTTTTTTCTATGGGGGTGGAAGTTAATTGTGACATGCCAGAAGAATCGACTTAAACATTTTCTGAAATTTGGACATGCCAAGCCTAAAATATTCTCTATCAGTATCATAGCTGTTGAAGGTGAAGATGGAGACTTGGCATAACAAAGGGAGAGACTCATCAGGCCTTCTCGCATCCTGTTCAGCCTTTACCACCTGTCCCTCTGATTTGATACCTGAAAAGGGGAAAAGAAAGAAAACAAACTGAACAGAATTTAATGAATAGAATCACAGTTATCACTGATTTTTTTTAAAAAACAGCAGGGATATCATTTAAGTCCAATAGCAACAGCACTTAGACTTATATACCGCTTGACAGTGCTTCACACCCTCTCTAAGTGGCTTACAGAATCAGCAAACAGCACTACAATAGCAATAGTGAGCATTATTCCCATTCTTTCACCTCCGAAGTAAAGCACACATCCACGTATGGTGACCAAGAAAAGAGAAACTGGATCAGAAATGATTGGTGTCATTCAGCTGATTGAATATAAGCAGATTTTCTAGTCTGCCAATGGAGAAAATGAGAGAGAGCTGGTTCTGCTCATCTGCAGGGAGAGCTAACTTCCTTTGTTTTAAATTGAGGTCATGGAAGCTGACTCAACTTGGATGGCAGCCATGAACATTGAGGGATTTTGTCAAGCTTCAGTGTAGCTTCTTCTCACTGTGATCCTCTAGCACAGTAATATACAGCAGTATCCTCTGGTTTCAAGTTGTTCATTTGGAGATAAACCATGCTGGAGGCATCTTGCCAGGAGATGATGAAACGGCCTTTCACAGAATTGGCATAGAATTGGGTGCTCCCATCTCCAGGATCATCTATCAAAGCAAGCCATTCCAATCCTTTCCCTGGAGCCTGTCTCACCCAGCTCATCTCATAGCTGCTGAAGGTAAAGCCTGAAGCTTGGCAGGAAAGAATAATGGATTCCCCTGGCCTTCTCACATCCCCTCCAGATTCCACCAGCTGGACCTCCATTTGGACATCTGGAAAAGAAATATTGATATGTACATTTTAAGTGTCCGGCTTCCTCAAGTCCATCAACCTGAAGCATATTAGAGCTTGTTACGTTCCTACTCTGTATGGAAGAACCATTACCTTTGATAACTGCTAAAATGGAAATGAGCTGGAGCAAAATTAACATTTTTCTTTCTCAGTGGAGACCTTCCAGGCAGACAGGCTTTTACTCTCTAGCCACAGCCTAAAAAGGTGGGAGAAGATGTCATATAAAGAGGAAGGCTATGTCTGTATTTGCATATACTTCAGGATAAAAGAGAACCAGAGTTGGCTGATTATAGTAACAACACTTTTTGAAAAAATCTGAAAGGATGCATACTGTTACTGTAAGTTCACCAAAACTACACTAAATTTTCCATTTAATGTACAGTAGTTTTGGGCATATTTGTCTGTAGGAATGTATTTTGATCATTGTTACACCAAAACACAGCTTTTAAATTATTATTTTTTAAATCCTGGGAAATTAGATTATAATTTCAGATACTACAATGAATATTATACTATTTTTTCCACTTACTGTGCTTCTGGGTATATTTGTCTGTAGGAATGTATTTTGATCATTGCTGCACCAAAACACAGACTTTTAAATCATTTTAATCATCATGTACTATAATCTATTTCAGATACTATCATGAATACATGTATTTTTGTACATTAATTTCCTTTATTGATTTTTATTGAAACCCTACAAGAATTGACATATGTAAAGAGCACTGATTTTACATGTAATGGTATGCACTATTAGAATCATTCAAGTAGGCTCAATATAAAGAATGGAATTCAATAAGTTTAAAAAAGCAGAATAAGTTTAAACATGTTTTAAATGTGTTAATATTATGAAATATTATATCCACAGCTTACTTATATCTCTAGGTTGGTTATAATGTTTCAGACTGAATTGAGATGTGAAATTAATGCAAATAGCTTTATTAGGTTTGAAGAAGAAGAAGAAGAAGAAGAAGAAGAAGAAGAAGAAGAAGAAGAAGAAGAAGAAGAAGAAGAAGAAGAAGAAGAAAAGAAGAAGAAGAAGAGAAGAAGAAGAAGAAGAGAAGAAGAGAAGAAAAGAAGAAGAAGAAGAAGAGAAGAAAAGAAGAAGAAGAGAAGAAGAAGAAGAAGAAGAAGAAGAAGAAGAAGAAGAAGAAGAAGAAGAAGAAGAAGAAGAAGAAGAAGAAGAAGAAGAAGAAAAGAAGAAGAAGAAGAAGAAGAAGAAGAAGAAGAAGAAGAAGAAGAAGAAGAAGAAGAAGAAGAAGAAGAAGAAGAAGAAGAAGAAGAAGAAGAAGAAGAAGAAGGGAGATCTGCTATGGCTGCAAAATATTCATCAATCTCTCTCTGGGTTCATCTGATATATAGTGCTAAAGACCTATATATTGTGCTAAAGACTGAAAAGAAGACCAACTTTGCTCTTCTCTGATCTCCACTGTCTTCTTTGCCTCTGCATTTCATACTTATAAGAATCAAAGAACTGTTTCCTGTTTTTGTTCAGATCCCAAATAAACTTCTCTCATTGTGTCTTCTCTGGAACAAAAATAGACAGCTGAGTCTGCAACTGACACAGTATTCAGCTGAAGGTAGAACTCATTCTTGGAGTTGTCTGCTGAAATTGAGGCACGGTTCTTCATGGAGTGAGAATACCATTTGTCCCCATTATAGGCATGTATTCCTGTAACCCATTCTACACCTTTTCCAAAAGGCTGGCGGAACCAATGCCAAACATAGTTCTGAGTCTGGAGGGAGAACCCGGTCACTTTACACACCAGCCAGAGATTATCTCCAGGCCTTACTACTCCTGCGCCAGTTGAAACCAGCTGAACCTCTGAGAAGGCCCCCTTTGGAAAAAAGAGAAGATGAGAATGAATATAAGAGCTCTATGGTGTGCCATCTAAACCACTTCTAGAACTTATACTTACATTTTTGCACCAAAAGAAAGGAAAACAAACAAAATAAGATCTTCATTGTAAATCAAAGAATTCTGAACCTGGATCTAAGAGAAACACTGAAGACTCTTCATTTGGGTACAACCTTTTGAAGAGCCAAGAACAAGTTTTTGAAGGAATTTGCATGACTTTCTCTTCCCATCATCCCTTAGAAGATATAAAAGTTCAGCAAGAGAATTGTGATAGAGGGATACAGGGATATGCTGGTGTTGTATTCATGGCTGGGATCACTTCATAATGATAAAGAATCCATCAAGCTTTTAGAATAGGATAGAATAACAGAGTTGGAACGGGCCCTGGAGGTCTTCTAGTCCAACCCCCTAATCAGACAGGAAGCCCTATACCATTTCAGACAAATGTTTGTCCAATCTCTTCTTTAAAATTTCCAGTGTTGGAGCATTCACAACTTCTGGAGGCAAGTTGTTCCACTGGTTAATTGTTTTAACTGTGAGGAAATTTCTTCTTAGTTCTCAGTTGCTTCTCTCTTTGGTTAGTTTCCATCCATTGCTTCTTGTCCTGCCCTCAGGTGCTTTGGAGAATAGCTTGACTCCCTTTTCTTTGTGGGAGCCCCTGAGATATTGGAACACTGCTATCATGTCACCCCTCGTCCTTCTCTTCATTAAACTAGACATACTGAATTCCAGCAATTGTCCCTTGTATGTTTTAGCCTCCAGTCCCCTAATCATCTTTGTTGCTCTTCTCTGCACTCTTTCTAGAGTCTCAACATCTTTTTTACATTGTGGTGATCAAAACTGGATGCAATATTCCAAGGGTGGCTTTACCAAGGCATTATAAAGTGGTATCAACACTAAACGTGATCTTGATTCTATCCCTCTGTAAATGCAACCTTTCAATACTCCTTCTTCCTCCTTTTCTTTCTCAACAACAACCCTGTGAGGTGGGTTGGGTTGAGATAGAGTGACTGATCCAAGGTCACTCAGCCACTTTTCATGATAAAAGCTAGATTAGAACTAGAGCATCAGAAGTATATTTTTGGGGGGAATTATTATGCAGGATGAAAGAGAGTTTTCTTCAACCTTCAACAAAACTATGCAGATATCAACTCATTGATTAAATAAAGTTTTTCCAAAACTTTGCTTTTCAAACCCAAATAGAAAAAAAAAGTTAACCTGGGAATTCTTAAGTTAGGGAGAAAACTTCGAAATCAACAGGAATGCTGAAACTGGGTTTACAAATGTTGTAAATCAGAAGCAACTAAAGCGGACAGCTCCCTTGACCAAAACTGTAGGTTGAATGCCATACAGACCAACAATGTTGCACCAAAGAGTTATACTTATTCAAAAACCAGAAAATGCACATATCATATGTGAGGAAATTGTTGGTAACCTCAAACCACTGGTATATAGAACATGGCAAGGGAAAATGACTGGAATCAGAATGTTGTGGTTTAATTATGAATGTAGATGTGAAAGAAAGGACAAAAAAGGAAGGAAGGAAGGAAGGGAGGGAGGGAGGGAGGGAGGGAGGAAGGAAGGAAGGAAGGAAGGAAGAAGAAAGAAAGAAAGAAAGAAAGAAAGAAAGAAAGAAAGAAAGAAAGAAAGAGTTATGTTTACAAGATAATGATACAAAATTTTAGGAAATAGTTTCCCAAGGCAAGAGATAAATGGAAGTAGTAACAGAAGCACAGATTCCATTTGACGTTTGGTATAACTTATTTCTAAAATAAATTTGAGTATATCAGAATATCAAACCCACACTTAATGAGTACAGGTTTATTAAAATATTTATTAAAGTGGTCCCTAGTAATTGCTGCAGAAGCTAAAATAATAAGTTCATATCCAACAGCTGGCAAAGCCCTGGGAGAATATATGTTGCCACGCGAAATTTTTAAGACATTTCCTGATTTGTTGACACCTCTACTCACCCCCTTGTTTAGTTGTATTAATGCTACTGGACAAATCTCCCAATTTTTAAAAAGGGAGATTCTACAGCCCTGCCAACTTTCATTCTATAAGTTAATCAACAGAAAGTGTGTGTGTGGGGGGGGGGGAAACAGGTCTTCGTTATAAATAGGTCTGAGCAGGATATAAAGGTAATATTAAATATGATTCATTAGTGTACTGCTCACGATTAAGCTTTTGAAGTAATTATCATGAGTTTCTCTTCCCACGATGCCTTAAAAGACTTTCAGAGAGATAAAACTGTGACAGAGATTAGTATAGGGATATCTTAGTGTTGTATTAATTGCTGGGATCTACCCAGTGGTGGGATTCAGCCAGTTCGCACCACTTCAGCAGAACCGGTAGCTAATTTTTTGTTCTCCAGGCCCAGAATGGACTTCCAGAAGTAGTATCCACTGGTTGTTCACATATTTGAATCCCACCACTGGATCTACCATAAAGATAAAGAATCCATCAAGGTTTTGCCCATCTCAATACCTTAGAAGGAACAAGTCAAAAGTCACCTCATGGTTTAGTGGTTTTCTGGTTGAATGAGAAAGGGAAATAAAAGTAACTGCATCCTAAAGTCAATTCAATTTGCACTACATTTAGCAAAGGACCATTGGAGGGAACTCTTCTTGGGTCTGCCGAGAGAACTGTGCAATTTTTCAAGCAGGGACTGGAGAAATAATGTTTAATGGGGTTTTGCAGACAACTCTGCGTCCTAGTGTAAAACAAGGGGAGGAGCAATAACAGGTTTAATTTCTGCTTGTATTCTAAATCTAAACAGTGGAAATGAGTCTGGGGGAGATGATTGAGTTCCAGGAGATCTGCAGAGATCTCCTAAAGAAAGGTGAACAAGTAGCCAAAGCTTTAAAGATGCATGTGCAAGAATTGGGTATGAATTAGCCAGCTGCTGAATCAGCAATTCGATATCAAGTGTCTTATTTCAAATTTCTCTCCTATAATCTGCCAGATGTATATCCCAAATATGTTTTTTTTCCCCAAAAGACAATCTGACTTTCATGTTTTTTTTTAAGAAGTTTCTTCTCTTGGATGAGAAATGAAATATTTTCAAAGAAACAAAAAACTAAGGAAGTCCAATTGCCTTTTGAAGAAAGCATCTTTGGGACAACCATGACCTGTATGAATGAACATGAACAGTAGCAGGAATTGAATATGTCTAGTTTAATGAAAAGAAGGACTGGGGGGGGGGCATGATAACAGTGTTCCAATATTTGAGGGGCTGCCGCAAAGAAGAAGGGGTAGTAATCTTTTTTCCAAAGGACCAGAAGGCAAGACAAGAGACAATGGATGGATATTAGTCAAGGAGAGAACCAACCTAGAACTAAGGGGATATTTTCTGACAGTGAGAACAATTAATAGCTTGCCTCCAGAAGTTGTGGATGCTCCATCACTGAGGTTTTTAAGAAGAGATTTAACAGCCATTTGTCCAGACTGGAATAGGATCTCCTGCTTATACATGGGGTTGGACTAGAAGACCTCCAAGGTCCCTTTCAACTCTGTTATTTTGCATGATTAGGAATCTCCAAAGATATTCTGCCAGAAATATGTTTTCCGCAATTTTAATCTGGATGTTAAAAAATAAAATGCACAAACAAATGCATTGCTAAAGGAAAGAGACCCCATAAAACATCTGCATAAGAACAAAGGTGTAGATGGGATACATCTGAATGAACCCATGATTAAGCAAGTATTCTTGTGGTCAGTTTATTTTAACCAATATTACTCAACAATTTCATGGGTGAGAGGATGATCACTCCATCTAGAAAGTACTAATCTCAAAGCTCAAAGGCAATTTGTTGTTTCTGTTTTGTTCTGAGGTGTTTGTGTGTGTGTGTGTGTGTGAGAGAGAGAGACAAACCAGTACAGTCAAGTTAAGCATTTTCCAAATTTTGACAAGCTTAGCCTGAAAGGTCTATCATCTCTATTGTGGTGTTGAAGGTGAAGCTAGAAGCTCAGCAGGAGATATGGAGGGCCTCACCAGGACTTCTCACACCCCTTACAGACTCCACCACCTGAGCCATCAATTTGATAACTTCAAATGAGAGAAGGAAAAGTTCAAATCAAAGGAACCATTAACAGTTGAATATTAGTAGCTTTTCCAGTTCACCAGTAGATAATGAAAGGGGATTGGCTCTACTCATCTGCATGGAGAGCTAACTGCCTTTGTTTTTAATTCAGTGCCTGGAAGCTGACTCAACTTGGACAGCAGGCATCAACCAGTGAGGGATTTTGTCAGGCTTCACCATAGCTTCCTCTCACGGTGAAGTCTGTAGCACAGAAATACACAGCCGTGTCCTCTGGTTTCAAGCTGCTCATTTGGAGATAAAGCATGCTGGAGGCATCGTGCCGAGAGATGGTGAAACGGCCTTTCACTGAATTGGCATAGTATTGGGTGTTCCCATCTGCAGGGTTATCTATCCACGCAAGCCATTCCAGGACTTTCCCTGGAGCCTGTCTCACCCAGACCATCTGATAGCTACTGAAGGTGAAGCCTGAAGCTTGGCAGGAGAGACGGAGGGACCCTCCAGGTCTTCTCACATCCCCTCCAGACTCCACCAACTGGGCCTCCATTTGGACATCTGGAAAAAAATGTTGGTATGTACACTTTAATGTCAGTCTGCTGCAGTCCCTTAACCCGAAGCTTATTAGAGCCTTTTAGCTTTCATCTCTGTATGGAAGAATGATTACCTTTGAAGGCTGTGAAAATGGAAATGAGTTGGAGAAAAAATATCATTTTTCTTTCTCAGTGGAGAAGTTCCAGGCACACTGACTATTGCTCACCAGCCACAGGTTGAGAATCATGGGAGATGGTGTCATATAAAGAGGGAAGGTTAGGCCTGTATTTACATAAACTTCAGGATAAAAGAGAACCAGATTTGACTGATAATACCACCAAGAGTTTTTGAAATACCGGAAGGGCTGTATGAAGGTTAAGTTCACAAGATTAAAAATCACACATACATGTGCCTAACATCTTATAGTTGTCTTTTTCTAAGAGATAGTTTTTTTAAAAACAAAACAAAAACACAACTCAGAATTAATTGGATGAAAGTGTAGCCATAATGGATGACTTGTAAAACCCAGAAATTTGTTAAATTATATATGGTTATATTTTTTTACAGTGATTTGAACATTTTTGACAATTCGAAGTGATATATTCATCTTTCTTAATCATTAAGTGTGTGTTGGCCAATGACATGATCTCATAGATTCTGACTTTTGTCAAGCAGGGACCAAATGATTAATTGCCGCTTAATCAAGTGTCAAAGTTCTTTTAAAAAAATATCTTTGAATGAGTTTAGAATTTGTTTTACATAGACAACTGCCCAACTTTTCAAAGACTAGTTTGTCCCACTTCTACCTATAGTTCCATGGCCTTTTCAGAGGAATTTTTCATTTAATGTCCTTTGGACACATCTGTCTGTAGAAAAATCTTTTGTTTATTGCTGCAACATAATATAGCTTTTTACTCATTTTAATCCCTATAAATGATAATATATTTCATACACTATCATAAATACATGCATATTTGTATATAAATTTCCTTTACTGACTTTTGTTGAAGCATTACAAACACTGGAAATTTAGAAGAAGAAAATGCTTTTATAGGAAATGGCATTCCCCATGGTCAACATAGAATCATTCAAGTGAGCAAAATATATCTCAGAATCAGTGTGATAACATTGTGGCCAACCACACTCTTAATGAGCTGAGAAAATAAATATATAGATGCTGTATGAAGTTTGAGGATATACTAATGATATTATCCTAGGGAAACTAAGCCTGGAAAGATCTTCAGGAGACTTTTGGAGTTGTGAGAGATGAGTCTTATTGTTTATCCTAAATCTGGAGAAAATTTATCTATGTGGTCACTAATGGGTGATAACAAACTAGGTGGCACTTAATCACTTGGTCAATTCAAGACTGTATGATTCTTAATTCTGGTCTTCCAATTCAACATCATTTTAATGAATTATCTTAGAGAACTGCTCAGGGGAAGAGAAGATTCTTTCTTGGTTTCAGAATAACAGAATATTAGAGTTGGAAGGGACCTTGGAGATCTTCTAGCCCACCTCCTGCTCAAGTAGGAAAATGGATACCATTTCAGAAAAATGGTTGTCCAATCTCTTCTTAAAAACTTGCAGTGTTGGAGCACCTACAAGTTCTGGAGGCAAGTCATTCCACTGATTAATTGTTCTCATTGTCAGAAAATTTTTCCTCAGTTCTAGGTTGCGTCTCTCCTTGATTAGTTTCCACCTAGTAATAGTAGTAAAGTTGGAAGGGACCTTGGAGGTCATCTAGTCCAACCCCCTGCTCAGGGAGGAAACCCTACACCATTTCGGACAAATGGCTGTCCAGTCTCTTCTTAAAAACTTCCAGTGTTGGAGCATTTACTACTTCTGGAGGCAGGCTGTTCCACTGATTAATTGTTCTCACTGTCAGGAAGTTTCTCCTTAGTTCTAGATTGCTTCTCTCCTTGATTAGTTTCCACCCGTTGCTTCTTGTCCTGCCTTCAGGTGCTTTGGAAAAATAGCTTGATTCCCTCTTCTTTATGGCAGCCCCTGAGATATTGGAATACTGCTACCTGTTGCTTCTTGTCCTGCCTTCAGGGGCTTTGGAGAATAGGTTGATCTCCTCTTCTTTGTGGCAGCTCCTCAGATATTGGAACACTGCTATCATGTCTCCCCTATCCTTCTTTTCATCACACTAGATCATCACACTTTCATCACACTTTCATTTCCTGCAACCATTCTTCATATGTTTTAGCCTCCAGTCCCTTAAGAAGCACTTTCAGAAGCATTTCGTCTCACTGTGTCTCTTGTACAGTAATAGACAGCTGTGTCTTCAGGCTTCAGGCTGTTCATTTGCAGATGCAGCTGCTCTTTGTCATTGTCCTTGGATATGGTGAAGCGACCCTTGACTTCATCAGAATAGTGAAAAGATGTAGAATCATAGCGTATATGTGCCACCCATACTGGCCCTTTCCCATGAACCTGTCTCATCCAATGCATGCTGTAATCACTGAAGGTGAATCCAGAGGCTTGGCAGATAAGATGAAGTGACTCCCCAGGTCTTCTCACATCCCCACCAGACTCAATCAGGTGAACCTCAGATTGGGCACCTGGAAAGGAAAATACTTCTTTGAGCCCTGTTGAATATTACTAGAAAAATAAGAATGTTCAAAAGAATGCTACAGTGGATAAATTACCTGTAAGAACACTGACTAAAAGCAAGGATGTTGGCCAAAATAACATTTTTGCTGTCCAGAAAGATAAGATGGAAAAGCATGGGAGGCATCCACCAGTTTATGTTGATGGGTTCTGCCTGAGAAAAGTTACATGGCTCATTTAAAGAGGAGACTGCCCACAGATTTACATATCCCTCCAGATAAAAAAGCTATATGTTTAATAATCTCGGGGGTCATGGGATTCTCATTTTTGCTCTTAAATCTCATAACATCATGCAATGAATTAGCTGACTTGTAGGTCATTTACTACAAAACATCCCCAATAGATGATCTCCCAGATCTTCTCTGCACAATTCCAACCAAGTGATTCTTCTAGCCAGATTGAGACAGGGTTTTCCGGTTCTTCTCTCAATTCCAGGTTGATTCTACACAATGAGTATTTCATGGGTATTTCATTTTTTTTTTTTTTTTGCTATACATGCTGAAGTTTGATATTAAAGAAGTTTTGAGAACTCTTGGGGAATTAAATTCTCAAAGGACTTCTATGTTTTTCCTTCAACAATCTCTTTTAATTCTCCAGCAAGCAGCTGAAAAAGCAGTCATGTTTACAGCTGAAACCACAGATTTTATTTCAGTCATGGTCAAAAATATTATGTGTGTTGTGCTTCCTTCTGAGTTGGATGTGTCTCTGGAGGTAGCAATGGACCTCTTCATGGATTCTGCATAGACTTGTTTATGTAGCATCATACAATCCATTCTAGTCCATTCCCTGGAGCCTGTCACACCCATCTCACAACTCGGTATTGTGAGCTCTATGAACTATTACTGCTTCCTTGTAACTTTAAATTTCACCTTCAATTCAAGAAGAGAACATTACTTTGGGGTTCTATTTTCCCTAATTTATATGGGTCTAATTTATTTTTTAAGTCTTAAAATATTCTACTGATCCATGGAATATTCTACTGCTATGATGTAGATTGATAATCTACTCCTCAATTTGAAAGACTCAGATTCAAATTTCTGTGACTGAATCCACTTGCTCTGAGCAAGAGAAGGTTCTTGTCTGGCTTCAGATTTATTTCTTCTCACTGTGTCTCTCGCACAGTAATAGACTGCGGTGTCCTCTGGTTTGAGGCTGTTCATTTGCAGATACAGCTGGCTTTTGGTATTGTCCCTGGAGATGGTGAAGCGTCCCTTCACTTTGTCTGAGTAGTGAATACTATGCTGTCATAGCGGATGTATGCCACCCATTCCAGTCTTTTCCCAGGAGCCTGTCTCACCCAGTGCATGCTGTAGTCATCAAAGTTGAATCCTGAGGCTTGGCAGGAGAGACGAAGGGACTGGCCAGGTCTTCCCACATCCCCTCCAGACTCCACCAATAGGATCTGAGATCGGAAATCTAAAATGAAAGTTGTTTCAGCAAGCTTTCCAGTTTACAAGATGGAAACAGTTTAAAATGGAAAAAGCTAAATACAGTAGAATTACCTCTGAGGATTGCTAGAAAGGACACCAAGTTTAGCCAACAGCATCATTTTTGCTGTCTCTAATGAATGGAGGGGAACTGAAGTAGAAGATTTGAAAAAGTGCACGAGCTTTGTGATGGTGGGTGTAGCCTGAAAAGGGAAACCATGTACTTCTTTTAAAGGGGAAATTGTGCCCTGATTTACATATTGATTGGGATAAAAGAGGCCCTCAGTGCATTCAATTAGAAATATTACATGTGTGATTTTCAAATGATGTTCTAGTTGTAAGAAAAGTGATGTCACACATGCTTTGTTCTGGTTTTCTTCTGGATACATAGGAGAAAGGAAAGGTTTACTTTAGAGTAAGTAAAACAAAAATTTGATCAATTCAACCACTTCTCAAAAATGAGTTAATATAGTAGAGAATTTAATCTCCTTAAAATCCTTCCTTCCTCTTTCTTTCTTTCTTTCTTTCTTTCTTTCTTTCTTTCTTTCTTTCTTTCTTTCTTTCTTTCTTCCTTGAGTAAGCCTTCATGAACAATTTGTAATCCACAGTTGTGAGGTCCACCTAACTCAAAAAGAAAAAAAAATCAAATAATTATGTCCCTCATAATTCTTCGTTGAATGAGAAAGTTCAAAAAAAAAATCCCTTTTTATTGTCCAAGAAATTAACTTTGTTATACCTCTAAGATATATATTTGTTGTAATTTCAGACCCAGCTTCACAATATTTTGGACATAACCATGATTTACTTTATTCATTAAATTAGTTTGTTTTCCTTTTAATTGAATTAATTAGATTTGGATTTCAAAGTAAGAGAAAAACCATGAGTTGCAGTACATTATGGATGCAAAGATGCTGAATGTAGCTCCTTGCCAAGCTGGGGAGTATCTTTTTAAATTAAAGACTCCTGGGTACAGTTTTATTTAAGAGGCAGCGCTGATCCATGTTTCTTCATTGGAAACAACCATCTGATTTCCTGTTCTGATTTGTCATTACTGCGAATCATGTCTGTAAAATTCTGAGATCGTATTTGCTGACAAATCTGACTTTGTTCTCTGAATTTCAACTGGATTTTGAGCACTCCTGTGTGTGTTCCTGTTGAAAGCAAAATCATTTAAACAACCTTTCTTTCCAAGAGACTTTGTTATAATAATAATAATAATAATAATAATAATAATAATAATAATAATAATAATAATAATAATAGTAGTAGTAGTAGTAGTAGTAATAAAGTTGGAAGGGACCTTGGAGATCATCTAGTCCAACACCCTGCTCAGGCAGGAAACCCTATACCATTTCAGACAAATGGCTGTCCAGTCTCTTCTTAAAAACTTCCAGTGTTGGAGCATTCACCACTTCTGGAGGCAGGTCTTTTCACTGGTTAATTGTCCTAACTGTCAGGAAGTTTCTCCTTAGTTCTAGGTTGCTTCTCTCCTTGCTTAGTTTCCACCCTTTGCTTCTTGTCCTGCCTTCAGGCACCTTGGAAAATAGCTTGACACCCTCTTCTTTGTGGCAGCCCCTGAGATATTGGAACACTGCTGTCATATGCCCCCTTGTCCTTCTCTTCATTAAACTAGACATACCCAATTCCAGCAGCCATTCCAGCAGCTCTTTCCACTTTCAATACTTGTCCTTTTTATCTTTCAATTTGCCAGAGAGTTCTTTATGCAGCCATGCTAGTTTCTTTTGAGAGCTGTTATTCTTCCTCTTTGTTGGTATTGTACTAGATTGGGCTTTTATTATCTCATTTTTCAAAATTTCTCAAGCTTCCTGAGTTGTTTTCCCCTTGAGGATTCTCATCCATGGAATCTTTCCCAAGCTCTTTCTAAGTTTATTGAAATTAGCTCTCTTGAAGTCCAAGACTCCAGTTTGACTGTGTTTTATTGCTTGTGTTGCGTCCTTGGCGGGAAAACAGACACGAGAAGCAGCTGGAGTCCTCAGGTTCTTTTATTCAGCGTTCAGCTTACAGGAAGATGGCTTCAGCTCAGCCCAAACGCCTCGCAGCCCCTTATATAGGCAACTCCCGGGTAAATGGGTTACTTTTCCCGCGCCAGCACCCGCGCATGCGCACGGCGCTGGCGACAGCCTGTCTGGTCCCGGGCAGCTTTGCACCTGCCCGGGACTGCCTGCAAACGCCCGAGCCGTTTGCAAAGGCTCGGGACATAACACCCCTTTCCCCCGGGCTAAAACTACTACCAACATACAACATTTATTTTATATAACATTTTGCTCCCCAGTGCTCCCACTGTTTACTGGCCTTTGCCTTGCCAGCAATGTTATGTAGTCTTCTAGGTACTTGGGAGATTTCTTTGCTCTCTGTGACCTTCTTAGCTGTGGGTTACTGGCATAAGTCCCCTGACTGGAGGGAGGCGTGAGCCTATTCTCTCTATTGTGCCCTGGTGTCTTCCAAGGACTGTGCCCCGATGCCTGGCCTGCTTGCTTGCCCACCGGGCTCGTCAGGCCAGGGCTTCTGTTGCTTTGTGACCTGGTTGACCTGCCTAGCTGTAGACCCTCAGGCCCCTTGAAGTGATAGCCGCTGCTGGGCGTCTCTGTAGGACCTCCTAGGTCAGTCCAAGACCTGTCAGGAGGCTGTCCATTCCCTGAACCCCATTCTGTGTTTGGGCTCGTGTGGGTTTCTGTACTCTCCCAAAACTCCGGTGTCCCCTGATTTGTGCTAGGGGTGTTGTAGTCGGGACTTGGTTCCTCGACTAGCTCTGTGTATGTTTGACCCCCTGTAGGATTTGGGGTAAGGTCAGGCCAACTTTGGGGATTGTGTGCCAGCTCTCTTGCGGGGAATGATTTGTTGGGATGCCCCCGGGTATCCTCCGTGACTGGAGTGCTGTGTGATATGTGTGGAAAGTGAGTATGCCCCCGGGGTGACTCCCTGGCTGGAGTAGGCGTGGATGCCTGTTGTGTGGGTAAGCTCCATGACTTCCTTTTCGGAGCAATTGCAGAATCTTGGGACGGGCCGTCTGTGGCTCCCTCAGTGGAGATGGGCAGTAACTCTTGCCCTTCCCTTTGCTCCAAAGGGTCCCCCTCCCCCCCTGGAAAAGACCCAGGAGTTTCAGCAGAAAAGTCCCGCCTAGAGCGGAGTTGGTCGATGTGCCGACGCAGGACACGACCGTTGTCCAGGGCAACCTCGTAGGAGAGAGGACCTGTGATCCTGGACACAGAAGCGGGGACCCATGTATGACCAGGCCCGTAATTGCGAGCCCAAACCGGGGCACCCACAAGTAGTTGTCTATGTGCCCTAGGATGTGAGGTAGATGAAGGCAGTCTGTCCGGATGCAACCGGTCAAGTCTCGTAGTAAGTTGGCGCCCCCAACGAAGTTCAGCTGGACTTCTCCCTGTAGAAGTGGACGGTGTGGTGCGATAAGAAAGGAGAAAGTCAGCCAACCTGTGATGCCAGTCCCCGTAGGTGAGTCTCTTCAAGGCGTCCTTTGCGATGCGCACCATGCGTTCAGCCATACCGTTGGTGGATGGGTGAAAAGGCGCAGATGTGGCATGACGAATCAGGTTTGCCTGTAAGAAAGCTTGGAATTCGGAGGAGGTGAATTGAGGGCCGTTGTCGGACACAATGACATCTGGCAGCCCGTGTGCAGCAAAAATCCCCCTCAGTACCTGAATAGTCTTTGCAGTGGTGGTGGATGAGACAGGCACAACCTCAAGCCATTTTGAATGGCTGTCAACAAGGACCAAGAAGAACTGGCCCTGAAAGGGCCCAGCGTAGTCAATGTGCACCCTAGACCATGGGGACTGTGTTTCCTCCCATTTATGCACAGGAGCTTGGGGCATCTCTGGGCGAGATCGTTGGCACATGTGGCATGCGTGTACCTTAGCCTCAATATCTTTATCTAAAGCAGGCCACCACAAGTGGCTGCGTGCAAGAGCCTTCATACGAACAATGCCAGGATGACCCTCGTGGAGGGATTCTAAGACCCTAGTCCTCATTGAGGTGGGAATGACAACTCTGTTTCCCCAAAGCAAACAACCCTGAGAAAGGGAAATTCGTTCCTTTTGGACCAGAAACTCTGAAACTCAGGACTAGGGCAGTGCTCAGGCCACCCGGACAGGACCCAGGAGCGGACACGTGAAAGTGTGTGATCTGTACCTGTTTCAGCGGTAACATCCCTGGCACTAAGAGGAAGCTCGGGCAAGGCTTGGATTGATAGAATGTTGACAGCTGGCGCGGGGTCAGCTTCTACTACTGGCAGAGGCAACCTACTGAGGCCATCAGCATGGCCCATTTCTTTCCCAGGCTTGTGGAGTAATGAAAAATCATATGCAGACAAAAAAATAGACCACCTAAGCATTCTAGGGGAAATGATGTGGGGAGTCTGCTTACGTGTGGTAAACAGTCCCAGCAGAGGCTTATGGTCAGTGAAGACCGTGAAATGCCTGCCATATAGAAAATCGTGGAATTTTTTAATTCCAGCAACAACAGCCAGAGCCTCCCTGTCTATCTGAGCGTAGTTGCGCTCGGCAGAAGACAATGTTCTGGAGTAGTATGCAATAGGAACCTGAGTTCCATCAGACCTGAGGTGACTCAGGACAGCTCCAACCCCGTAGGGGGATGCATCACAAGCGATGCACACAGGAAGAGACTCGTTGAAATGTGCAAGAACACTGTTAGAAGTGAGCAAGGCCTTGACTTCTTTAAAGCAAGCCTCATGTGCTTGTGACCACAGCCACACAGCTTGTTTGTCTAGTAGCCTGTGAAGAGGCTCAGCTACACTAGCTTTATGTGGAAGAAAAGAATTGTAGAAATTCAGGAGGCCTAGGAAGGCCTGAAGTTTTCGGCCTTAGACTTTGGCCTGGGTGCTTCTAAAATAGCAGTTAGTTTGGATTCAGCAGGATGAATCCCAGCAGCATCAATTTTGAATCCCAGAAATTCAGTAGAAGGCACCCCATCTTGCATTTGTCTTTTCTGAGCTTAAGGCCTGATTTCCTGAATCTTAACAGGACAGCCCTAAGCCTTTCAGCTAGAATGTGTGTGGAGTCTCCTGCAATCAAGACATCGTCAAAGTAGGGGCAGACCCCTGGTATACCTCGTAGTGTGTTTTCCATTACGCTTTGGAAAATCCCAGGAGCGACATTCACTCCAAACTGCAGCCTTTTTACCTTAAAGGCTCCCCTGTGGGTCACAATAGTCTGAGCTATGGCAGCATCATCATCAACAGGCAGCTGTTGATATGCTTGAGCTAGGTCAAGCTTTGCAAAAACACGCCCCCCCTTGAGAGAGGCCAGGATGTGACTGACCACAGGAACAGGATAGGCATGTTGCTGCAATGCCTTATTGAGTGTGCATTTGTAATCAGCACAAATGCGAATGTCCCCATTTGCCTTTAGAGGCGTGACAATGGGGGTCTCCCATGGGCTGGAATCAACAGGTTCTAGGATTCCTTGTTGGATTAGTTTGTCTAATTCAGTGTCAATCTTACTTTTTAAAGCAAAAGGGACCCTTCTTGCTTTAATCCTAATGGGAGTGACAGTGGGGTCTAGCTTTAAGGACACAGGTGGTCCTTTGAATGTGCCCAGCTGGGGGCTGAAAACATCTGCAAATTCCTTGCAGACTTCCTGTAGGTCGAGTGTTTGTAAGCTGTTGAGTCCTGTGACGTGTATCCCCAGGGCCTCAAACCAATCGAGTCCTATGAGACTCGTTCTTTCACCCCCTACTACTAACAAGTCTAGTGGACCTTCAAAACTCTTGTATTGCACGTTAAGGGTGGCCTCCCCCTTAACACACACTCTTGAGTTCTGAAAATCAGTTAATACAATATCAGAAGGCCTTAACTTGGCCTTAGTCCCACTACTGGAACAAATCTTCCTAAATGTATGCAATGAAATGATGGAAAGGGCAGACCCTGTGTCTAGTTCCATAGATAATGGAACCCCTTGTAGCTTCACGTTGAGTGACAGCTTTTTCTTCATGGGCTTGTGTGTGCCTGTCCTACAGATGTTTCTACGCGAAGCGCAAAAACCTACCCTATTCTGGCTGGGGACTCTGGTACCCTTCAGGCGTTCTTCTTGAGGTTGTGCCTTTCGTCGGCCCAGACACACAGCTGCAATGTGCCCTTGTTTGCCGCATGCCCGGCAGGTAGCGGAGCGGAACTTGCAGTCGGTTCTCCTGTGGCGACCTCCACAGCCGATGCACTTGAGCGGAGCTGAAGAGCTTTCCTTCTGATTTTCTCCCTTCGCGGGGTGTAGACGGTCGACTTCTTCGTCCGGATCCTCCTCGGAGTTTCGTCGGACGTCTTCTTGGTGCACGGACGCACCCTCTGCACTGCTTCTGATCGGCCGCATGTTCTTGACGGCGCCGCCTGCTGCTTCTTCCGCGGTGGCTTCCCTTAAAGCGTCTTGGAAGGATAATTCTTCCTTAGCGAAAAGTCTCTGTTGTAGCTCTCGATGCCTCAACCCGCACACGAATCGGTCCCTCAGTCGTTCCTCGAGGTCCTTGAACTCGCAGGGCTTGGCGGCCTTCCGTAACGCGGCGATGTATTCCTTGACTGACTCACCGGACCGTTGATCCCTCTGCTCGAAGGTGTGGCGCCATGAGATAACGGACACCTTGGGGTGAAAGTGGTCCTTCAGCAGCTTCTTCAGGTCTGCGTAGCTTACAGACTCTACTGGAACAGGTGCTGCAAGGTTTTCTGCGATTTCGAAGGCGTCTTGGCCGCAAACGCAAAGCAGGGTGGCGGCCTTCAAGCTATCTTCCCTCACTTGGTTTGCCTTGAAGTAGTTCTCCATTCTGGATACGTAGGACTCCCACCGCTCTGGATGTGAGACGTCGAATTCCGAAAGCCTTCCGATTTTCGCCATCTTCGGATCTTCAGGAGACGGGTCTATCAGCCAGCCTACCCCCGAATGCGCACCGGATTGGCGGGCAGCTGCCGAGTCGACGCCGTTCCTCTTCCGCCGCTCAGGACTCCTTGGGTAAGCTTACACTTCTTCCTTTCCAGGTAGTGCAAGGCATCCCACCTTCGTCGCCAGTGTTGCGTCCTTGGCGGGAAAACAGACACGAGAAGCAGCTGGAGTCCTCAGGTTCTTTTATTCAGCGTTCAGCTTACAGGAAGATGGCTTCAGCTCAGCCCAAACGCCTCGCAGCCCCTTATATAGGCAACTCCCGGGTAAATGGGTTACTTTTCCCGCGCCAGCACCCGCGCATGCGCACGGCGCTGGCGACAGCCTGTCTGGTCCCGGGCAGCTTTGCACCTGCCCGGGACTGCCTGCAAACGCCCGAGCCGTTTGCAAAGGCTCGGGACATAACAGCTTGTGCTTCCATAATGTTGAATTCCAATATTGCATGATAACTTCCTCCCAGGATTCCTATGGCTTCAACACCTTCTATCGTTTCATCTCTGTTAGTGACAATTAGATCCAAAATGGCTAATTTGCTAGTTCGTGTCTCTACTTTTCAGGAGACAAAGTTGTCTGCTAGGTTTGCCAGGAACCTGTTTGATCTTCCACTTGGTGCAGAGTTTGTTGATTGACATTCCCTTGTTTGCTGATATCTGCTCATCATTAAGTAAACAGCTTTCTTCACATAGAATCTCTCTCTCTCTCTCTCTCTCTCTCTCTCTCTGTGTGTGTGTGTGTGTGTGAGAGAGAGAGAGAGAGAGAGAGACAGAGACAGAGACAGAGACACACACACACACACACAGAGAGAGAGAGAGAGAGCAGAGAAAGACAGAGACAGAGATGAAACAAGACAATAACCTGTGGAATCTTTGCTGGCATCTTTTCAGGAATGTAATGAAAAACTTATAAAGATACTGAATATTGTATATTTTGATATTCTAGCATCATGAAGACACTAGATCAGCATTTTTGTGGTGTCCCCATCTTTGAGGCTTTTCACTTACAGAAGTTGGTATTATTCCTAGAGATGCTGTTGCATAGTGTAATAGTTTATAATGCCTGAATCAATGTATATTCTGTTCTGCACAAAGAGCTAACTTCCTTTCTTTTTGATTCAGAGCATGGAAGATGATTCAACTTGGACAGCAGCCATGAACGATGAGTGATTTTGTCAGGCTTCACCATAGCTTCTTCTCACTGTGCTTCTCTAACACAATAATACACAGCAGTGTCCTCTGGTTTCAAGCTACTCATTTGGAGATAAAGCATGCTGGAGGCATCGTGCCTGGAGATGGTGAAACGGCCTCTCACAGAATTGCAATAGTATTGGTTGCTCCCATCTCCATCATCGTTTATCCATGCAACCCACTCCAGTCCTTTCCCTGGAGCCTGTCTCACCCAGGCCATCTCATAGCTGCTGAAGGTGAAGCCTGAAGCTTGGCAGGAGAGATGGAGGGACTCCCCTGGCCTTCTCACATCTCCTCCAGATTCCACCAGTTGGACCTCCATTTGGACATCTGGAAAGGAAATATTGATATGTACATTTTAACTATATAGCATGTTGCTATCCGTGAACCTCAAGCATATTGGAGCCTCTTAGTTCTGTATCTGTCTGGAAGAGCCATTACCTTTGATGATTGCTAGAACAGAAATGAGTTGGAACAAAAATATCATTTTTCTTTCTCAGTGGAGAAGTTCCAGGCAGACTAGCTTCTGCTCTTCAGGTTGAGGAGGGTGGGAGATGATGTCATATAAAGAGGAAGTTTAGGCCTGTATTTACATACATTTCAGGATAAAAGGGAGCAGTGTTGTCTTTTAATATCAGCACGAGTTTCTGAAAAACTTGAAAGGGTGTATAAAGATAATGTTCACCATACTATATGAATTAACAATTTTATGACAGGTTCTGCATTATTTAAAGACCAGTTCGTCCCATTTCTGTATATGGTTCAATGGACTTTTGAAAGGAATCTTCCATTGAATGGAATTTAAGGTCCATTGTTACAGCAGAACACTCTTTTAATTCATATTTTAATCCCCATGTATTAGAATTAATTTCAAATGCTACCATAAATACATGTATTCTTATAGTAATTTTCTTTATTGACTTTTATTGAAGCCTTACCAAAATTGGGCATTGATAAGAGCACCTGTTTTTACAAGTTATGTTATGCCCCATCATCAACATTGAATCATTCAATGGGGAAAATATGAAAATTGATAAACTAAGAAATGTAACAACTTCCAAAAGTGGAATAAGATAAAAATGTAATCAAATGTTTAATAAATCATTAATAGTCTAAAACACCACCTCCACCTCCTATTTATTTTGGTAGTGTTTTTTTTTTTCTGATGTTACAAACTGAACCGAGAAATTAATGCAGATAAATTTATGATAGCGAAAATTGTTTTTTCTGTTCCAACTTGAAACTTAAGTTCCCAAGGGACATTAAAAAGGGGGAATGAGGGGGAAATCATTTAAACAAATGAGATATATACTTTGGAGGCAAATTATTAATCAGGCTCAATAAAAAAAAGCTTGAAGCCAGAACAAGAAGCAATGGGTAGAATCTAATGAAGGAGAGAACCAACCTAGACCTAAGGAGAAATTTCCTGACAGTGAGAACAATTAACCAGTGGAAAGACCTGCCTGCAGATGTTGTGGGTGCTACAACACTGGATGTTTTTATGAACCATTTGTGTGAAATGGTATAGGGTTTCCTGCCTGAGCAGGGGGTTAGATTAGAAGACCCCCCCCCCAAAGTCTCTTCTAACTCAGGTATTCTCTTAACAGAAATATCAATGTATATCACACATTTTGAAGGCCCAAGATCAAACTGTTTAATTGATTGATAAAATGCATTGGCTGCATGATTTTCTCTTCCTACGATGCCTTAGAAGATATAATCTTTCAGACAAACAATTGTGACAGAGCTTGGCTGCATGGATATACTACCCATCCATCATTCTTTTGTTCATCTCAATATCTTAGAAGAGACAAGTCAAAAATCATGTTTTGTCAAGTGGAGTCCCGGTAAAATGAGAAAAAAGAATAAAGTCCACTGCATCCTAAAACCAACTCAGTTTGGACTACTTTTAAGAAAGGAGGGTTATGGGGAACTGTTCTTTGGTTTGCAATTTTTCAAGAAAACCTGTGGAGAATAATATGCAGTGGGATTTTACAGAGAAGGCTGCCCTCTTGTGATAAACAGATGGAGTACAGATAACAGGTTTAATTTCTCCTATTCTAAACAGGGAAATTACCCTCAGGAGAGTGATTGAATTCCACGAGATCTACAGAGATCTCTTAAGAAAAGCGACAGTACAACTAAAGCTGATTTTGATTAGTAACTCTGCTACAATTTTTTAGGGGAAGGAAAAGGAGGAGAATGTTATATCTCCTAAATTTCATAAAAGCATGGAGTGCATGGCTTGGAAAGACAATTTTGAATCATTCAAACAAACCTCCATCAGTTCAAGTGTAGAGTGTAGAAACCACCTTGACACATGCTCCTCCATAATCTTTCAAATCCTGCAATAAAAGATATGTAGAAGAGTTCATTGTGCCTCCCAGTAGTTATATAAATATAACTAACATATAACATGTAAATCACTTAAGGAAGTTGGTATCATTCCTAGAGATGCTGTTTCCTGGTTTAACAGTCTATATCAGGTGTTTTCAACCATTAGTACAGGTACCACCTGTGGTACATTGGCACTTGGCAGGTGATACGCAACCATCCTAGAAAAATGGTAGTGCGGGAGGGGAATGAGCTGAACCGATGGCAGCACCACACAAGCTTGAGAGAGAAATGGCTGGAGCTGCAGGGCTGTCAGCGCTCAGAGGAAGCGCCAGGATCAGTGCTGCTTTCCAGCTGATCGGCACTTCTTCGGGGCTGTCAGGGCTCAGTGGAAGTGCCAAGATCAGTGCCAGGCTCCAACTGAGCCCTGAAGAAGCACCAATCAGCTGGAAAGCTGCACTGATCCAGGAACTTCTGCTGAGCCCAGAAGAAGCGCCAATCAGCTGGAATGTTGCAGCACCTCCAGGGTCTTGTGATTTACATTCAGATGCTTGGCAACTGATTCATATTTATGACGGTCACAGTGTCCCAGAGTCATGTGAAGTGACCAAAACCTGCTGCAACCACCCAGCAGACGGGGGGAATAAAAACCAAATACCTCCCCCACCCCACCCCCGCTGTCAATCCCCAACAGAAATGCTCACAACAATGAAAACCTCGGACAGTAGGAAGAGCGCCACCAGGCAGGCAGGCAGGTGTCTTGCTAGGCTGTGGCTTGGGAGGCACTTTTTTCAGTGCCATTGTAACTTCAAACAGTCACGAAGTGAACTATTGTAAGTGGAGGACTACTTGTACTTCATCCTTTTTTTTTCTTTTTTGGGTGGTCGTCAAATTTTTGACACCTTGCTAGGTGACTGGTGGTACTCGGATGTTGCCATATCCTAAAAGTGGTATAATAGGTGAAAAGGTTGAAAAGCCCTGGTCTATATTGCCTGAATCAATGTATGTTCTGTTCTGCATGAAGAGCTAACTTCCTTTCTTTTTGATTCAGAGCATGGAAGCTGATTCAACTTGGACAGCAGCCATGAAGAATGAGGGATTTTGTCAAGCTTCACCATAGCTTCTTCTCACTGTGTGATTCTCTAGCACAGAAATACACAGCCGTGTCCTCTGGTTTCAAGCTGCTCATTTGGAGATAAAGCATGCTGGAGGCATCGTGCCTGGAGATGGTGAAACGGCCTTTCACTGAATTGGCATAGTATTGGGTGTTCCCATCTCCAGGGTTATCTATCCACGCAAGCCATTCCAGGCCTTTCCCTGGAGCCTGTCTCAGCCAGTTCATCTCATAGCTGCTGAAGGTGAAGCCTGAAGCTTGGCAGGAGAGACGGAGGGACCCTCCAGGTCTTCTCACATCTCCTCCAGATTCCACCAGCTGGACCTCCATTTGGACATCTGTAAAGGAAATATTGATATGTACATTTTAACTATCCAGCATGCTGCAGTCCATGAACCTCAAGGATATTGGAGCCTGTTAGCTGCCATCTCTTTATGGAAGAACCATTACCTTTGATGATTGTTAAAATGGAGAGTATGTGGAGCAAAAATATCATTTTTCTTTCTCAGTGGAGAAGTTCCAGACAGACTAGCTTTTTCTATTCAGGTTGAGGAGGGTGGGAGATGATGTCATATAAAGAGGAAGGTTAGGCCTGTATTTACATACACTTCAGGATAAAAAGGAACCAGCGTTGGCTTTTAATATCTCCAAGAGTTTTTGAAAAACCTGAAAGTCTGTATGAAGGTTAAGTTCTTATTCTTATATTAATTTCCTTTATTGAAGCCTTACCAATATTGGGCATTGATAAGAGTGCCTATTTTTACTGCTTATGTTATGCCCGATGATCAACATGGAATCATTAAGTGGGCATCATATAAAAACTGACGAAGAAATTTAACAAGTTCTAAAAGTGGAGTAAGATACCAATGCAATAAAATATTGAATAAAAAATAATAATGTGAAATACCACCTCCACATCTTATTTATTTCTATATTCTATCAGGTTTTTTCTGATGTTTCAAACTGAATTGAGGAAACAGTGCAAATAACTATTACATTGAAAATAGGTTTTTTTCTGTTCCAACTTAAGAATTCATTGTACCTCCAAGAAGTTATATAAATATAACTAACATATAACATGTAAATAACAAGAAAAAAGTGAAGGACAGTCAGTCCACTAAAGAGAGAAGATGGCAAGGACGTAACAGGCAGTAGAGAAAAAGTGAAAAATCATGTTGTGTCAAAGTGGAATTCTGGTAAAATGAGAAAAATGAATAAAGTCCACTGCATCCTAAAACCAGTTCAGTTAGGATTATATTTAAGAAAGGAAGGCTATAGGGAACAGTTCCAACCATGCAATTTTTCAAGAAAAACTGTGGAGAATAATATGCAGTGGGATTTTAAGGAGAAGGTGGCCCTCTTGTGATAAACAGATGGAGTACAGATAACAGGTTTAATTTCTCCTATTCTAAACAGGGAATAGTGATTGAATTCCATTTTACTGGCCCATCTTTTTCTCCGTCGGCCCTCAGAGATAGCTCGGACAGCTGGAGGAGCCGTTGCTCCTCCACAGCTGAGCAAAGCCTATTCGACAGTAGTCGCACCCTCCAGGGTGACTTTTGACCCACATAAGGGTCTACTGGTGGAGGGAAACTAGCCAACGAAGGGAGCAGGCTCTTCATAAGACTAAAAGTGCCGCAATCCGGAACTGGAAAGGATATTTCATCACCTTTGGGGATAATTCTAATAGCCAGCCATATCTGTAAATGTACTGCAATATAAAATCAGCTAGACAGAATTATTTATGTAGACCCAATTACATACCCAATTGTTAAAGAGATGAAACATCTAGGTTCTTAAACTTTCTTAAAGTGTTCCTTCTTTTTTTGAGGATTCCATATAATGGACAATAAAGTTGTCCTTGATGGATCCTTTCTTTTATGACCAGTATCTTAGCAACTTCTGAAGTTACTTTGCCCATCCCCAAACCTACCTATGACTCTGGTTTGAAGTCCTGGAATGGAGACCACCACCCCCCCCATAGTCATGCTATGAGCATTTTGGGTATTCAGCAACTCAACCATATTTATGCTCATGTGAAGCATCTAATGGAGATAGGACAATGACTTATTTTATTTAGTATCCAATCACAATGGAGTTGGAAGAGACCTTGTAGGTCTTCTAGTCCAAGTCCCTGTTCAGGGAGGAGACCCTATATCATTTCAGACAGGAAGCTGTCCAGATTTGACTTCTGGATTGTGGAAAAATTGCCCCATAGCAAACAATGGGCTTCCTTATAATAATAATTTTTATTTTACAGTCACAGACCAAAATGCAAGTGCAACAAAAGAAAACACAAGAAAAATACAATCACAAACAGTTAACACCAGAAGGCTAAAGGGAATTACAACATTCTCCTCTAATAGTTTCAGCTCTTAAAAGAAATTTAGAAACCTGAGAAGTAATATAGGAGGAATCATCCCCTACACAATATAAGACCAAATTACTAACATTAGAACCAGAGGGATCAATTCCAAGGAGAGACAGTAATTTAATTCTGGCTGTGTTATACATAGGGCGGTATGATAAGACATGCCCCATAGCAAACAATGGGCTTCCTTAATGACTGCTGTGTTCACTGCAGCAAAGGTAGTAAATTTGGGTCCATTCATGTGATGACCCACTTAATGACTTACTGGGCTCACTTATGGTCGTAACTCAAACACCACTTGTAAATATATGATTCTAACTTTAATGCTATAACTGCCTAAAATCAAAGAAGCAACAACAATAACCTTTTGTTTATCAACCAGCATACATACAATATGGAAATATCATAGGAGGGATTTTTTTTTTGCTATACATACTGAAGAGGTCTTAAGAACTCTTGGAGAATGAAATTCTCAAAGGACCATTATTTTTTTTTCCTTCAAGAAACTATTTTAATTCTCCAGTAAGCAGCTGGAGAAGCAGTCAAGTTCATAGCTGAAACCACAGGTTTTATTTCAGTCATGGTCAAAAATATTATGTGTTTTGCCCCTCCTTCTGATATCCATTAAAAAAAAACAGAAGGCAGTTGGATTTGTCTCTGGAGATGGCAAAGCACTCTTCATAGATTCCACATAGACTTGTTTACTGACATCATACAATTCATTCTCTTCCATTCCCTGGAGCCTATCACACTCAAACTCGCAACTCATTATTGTGAGCTTTATGTGCTGTTACTGCTTCCTTGTAGCTTTAAATGCAGAGGTTCTTTTTACCTTCAATTCAAGAAGAGAATATTACTTTGGGGTTCTATTTTCACTAATTTATATGGGTCTAATTTATTTTTTAAGTCTTAAAATATTCTACTGATCCATGGAATATTCTACAGCTATGATGTAGATTGATAATCTACTCCTCAATTTGAAAGACTCAAATTCAAATTTCTGTGACTGAATCCACTTGCTCTGAGCAAAAGAAGGTTCTTGTCTGGCTTCAGATTCACTTCCTCTCACTGTGTGTCTTGCACAGTAATAGACTGCGGTGTCCTCTGGTTTGAGGCTGTTCATTTGCAGATACAGCTGGCTTTTGGCATTGTCCCTGGAGATGGTGAAGCGTCCCTTCACTTTGTCTGAGTAGTGAATACTAGTGCTGTCATAGCGGATGTATGCCACCCATTCCAGTCCTTTCCCTGGAGCCTGTCTCACCCAATCCATGCTGTAGCCAGCAAAGCTGTAGCCAGAGGCTTGGCAGGAGAGACGGAGGGACCCTCCAGGTCTTCTCACATCCCCTCCAGACTCCACCAACTGAACCTCAGATTGGACACCTAAAAGGAAAGGTGTTTCAGTGAATTTTACAGTGTACAATAATTAAAATGGGAAAAAACCTGAATACCGAGGATAGAATTACCTCTGAGGATTGCGAGTAAGGACACCAAGTTTAGCCACAGGATCATTTTTGCTTCCTGTAATGAGTGGAGGAGAGTAGATGGTAGAAGATTTGGGAAAGTGCAGAAATTTGTCTTGGTGGGTGTAACCTGAAAAAGGAAGACACACAACTCCTTTAAAGAGAAAATTGTGCCCTGATTTACATATTGCTTGGGATAAAAGAGCACTTCAGTGCATTCAGTTAGAAATGTTTTTTGGACAGACCTTACCGATGTGATTTTCAAGTAATGTTCTTAAGTAAAGTGATGCCTCACATGCTTTCTTCTGGTTTTTCTGTGAATATATAGGAGAAAGGGCAGATTTATATTAGAGTAAGTAAAAGAAAGACTTGACCCATTCCACCACTTCTCAAAAATGAATTAATGTAGAATTTAATCTCCTAACTACATTGGCTTTAGAAGATTTCCTACACCATCCCTCCCTCCCTCTCTCCCTTCCTTCCATCCATCATTTCTTTCTTTCTTTCTTTCTTTCTTTCTTTCTTTCTTTCTTTCTTTCTTTCTTTCTTTCTTTCTTTCTTTCAATGGTGAACAATTTGCAGTGAATAATTTGTAATCCATAGTTGTAAGGTCCACCTAACTCAAAAAGAAAAAAAAATCAAATGTTATGTGTGAAATGTTCTCTGTGTTGAATGAGAAGATTCCAAATAACCTTTTTTATTTTCCAAGAAATTCACTTTGTTATACATCTAAGCAATCTATTTGTTGTAATTTCAGATCATGGCTTCACAATATTTTTTACATAACCATGATTTATTTTATCCATTAAATTAGTTTTTTTTCTCTTTTAATTGTATTAATTAGATTTGAATTTCAAGATAAGAGAAAAAAAAACATGAGTTGCAATACATTATAGATGCAAAGATGCTGAATGTAGCTCCTTGCCAAGCTGGGAAGTATCTTTTTTAATTAAAGATTGCCGGCAACAGCCTGGTTTAAGGGGCAGCCCCAATCCATGTTTCTTAATTGGAAACAACCATCTGATTTCCTATTCTGGCCTGTCATTACTATGAATCTTGTCTGTAAAATTATGAAATTAAATTTTCAGACAAATCTGACTGTTCTCTGAATGTCAACTGGATTTTGATCACTTCTGTTTGTGTTTCCTGTTGAAAGCAAAACCTTTTAGACACCCTTTCTTTCCAAGAAACTTTGTTGATTGATATTCCCTTGCTTGTCTATTGTTATCTGCTCATCATTGAGTAAACAGCTTTCTTCACATAGTAACTCTGTCTGTGTGTGCTTGAGTGTGTGTGTGTTTGTATGTGAGTGTGTGTGTGTGTGTGTGTGTGTGTGAGAGAGAGAGAGAGAGAGAGAGAGAGAGAGAGAGAGAGAGAGGTGAAACAAAACATTAACCTGTGGAATCCAGTATCTTTTCAGAAATATAATGAAAAATTGACAGAGTTCTAGCATCATGAAGACATTACATTAAAGTCTGTGTCTATCAGCATTTTTGTGGTGTCCCCATCTTTGAGGCTTTTCACTTACTGAAGTTGGTATCATTCCTAGAGATGCTGAAATGCCCTTCCACTTTATCCAAGTTTCATACTCTATATTTCCTGAATCAATGTATATTCTTTTCTGCATGAAGAGCTAACTTCCTTTCTTTTTGATTCAGAGCGTGGAAACTGATTCAACTTGGACAGCAGCCATGAAGAATGAAGGATTTGGACAGCAGCCATGAAGAATGAGGGATTTTGTCAAGCTTCACCATAGCTTCCTCTCACTGTGCGTCTCTAGCACAATAATACACAGCCGTGTCCTCTGATTTCAAGCTGTTCATTTGGAGATAAAGCATGCTGGAGGCATCGTGCCGGGAAATGGTGAATCGGCCTCTCACAGAATTGGCATAGTATTGGCTGCTCCCATCTCCATCATCTTCTATCCATGCAACCCACTCCAGTCCTTTCCCTGGAGCCTGTCTCACCCAGGCCATCTCATAGCTGCTGAAGGTGAAGCCTGAAGCTTGGCAGGAGAGATGGAGGGTCTCCCCTGGCCTTCTCACATCTCCTCCAGATTCCACCAGCTGGACCTCCATTTGGACATCTGGAAAGGAAATAATGATATGTATATTTTAACTAACCAGCATGCTGCAGTCCATGAACCTCAAACATATTGGAGCCTTTTAGCTTCCATCTCTTTGTGGAAGAACCATTACCATTGATGATTGCTAGAATAGAAATGAGTTGGAAAAAAAATATCATTTTTCTTTCTCAGTGGAGAAGTTCCAGGCAGGCTAGCTTCTGCTCTTCAGGTTGAGGAGGGTGGGAGATGATGTCATATATAGAGGAAGGTTAGGCCTGTATTTACATACACTTCAGGATAAAAGGGACCAGTGTTGTCTTTTAATATCAGCAAAAGTTTTTAAAAAACCTGAAAGGGTGTATAAACATAATGTTCACCATACTGTATGAATTAACAATTTTATGACAGGTTCTGCATTATCTAAAGACCAGTTCATCCCATTACTGTATATGGTTCAATGGACTTTTAAAAGGAATCTTCCATTGAATGTAATTTAAGGCTTTATTCATATAATTAATCCTCATATATTAGAATGCATTTCAAACACAATCATTAATACATGTATTTTTATAGTAATTTCCTTTATTGACTTTTATTGAAGCATTATAAAAATTAGGCATTGATAAGAGTGCCTGTTTTTACTGCTTATGTTGTGCTCGATGATCAACATGGAATCATTAAGTGGGCACCATATAAAAACTGATAAAGAAATTTAACAAGTTCTAAAAGTGGAGTAAGATAACAATGCAATAAAATCTTGAATAAAAAAGATAATGTGAAATACCATTTCCACATCTTATTTATTTCTATAGTTTTTTTTCTGATGTTTCAAACTGAATTGAGAAATCAATGCAAATAACCAGGGCTTTTTTTCTCATAGAATGCCCAGAATGGAATTCTGGCACTTTTTTTTGGGATGGAATCTTGTAGGGTAGGCAAGGCGGTTTGTATGACGTGTCTGAGTTCCAGCACTTTTTTTTTTTTTTTTAGAAAAAAAAGCACTGCAAATAAGTATTACATTGAAAATAGTTTTTTTCTGTTCCAACTTAAGGATTAAATTTCCAAGGGGCATGAAAAAAGGGAGATAAGCGGAAAATCGTTTAAACAAATGAGATGTATACTTTGGATGCAAGTATTAATCACTCTTTTTAAAAAAAGGTTGAAGCCAGAACAAGAAGCAATGAGTGGAAACCAATCAAGGACAGAACATCCTAGAACTAAGGAAGAATTTCCTGACAGTTAGAACAATTAACCAATGGAAAGACCTGCCTCCAGATGTTGTAGGTGCTACAATATTGGAAGTTTTTATGAACCAATATCCCTCCCAGCTCTATTCTGATTCAAGTTGAAAGCCAGACATTGACTTCAGTCACAGCTTTGGCAATGCTACCCAGTGTCCTAAATGTGGGGAGGGGGAAGAGATAGAGAATTATTTCTGTTTTATTCTGTGTTTGTGTGTCTTTCAGGTGTTTGGTTTGTGTCCCACTGTAGAGCAGCAAGGGAAAGGCTGTATTGCTGGTATATGAGATGGTTTCAGTTTCTCTTCCTCCCACTGTGTATCTTGCACAATAATAGAATGCTGTGTCTTCTTGTTTCAGGCTGTTCATTTGCGGATACATCTGGCTTTTGGCATTGTCTCTGGAGATGGTGAAGCATCCCTTCACTTTGTTCAAGTAGTAGGTTTCTCTTCCATCACTTTGTATCCATGCCACCCATTCTGGGTCTTTTCCTGGGGTTTGCCTCAGCCAGTTCATGTTACTCCCACCAAAGTTGAATCCTGATGCTTGGCAGGACAGACGGAGGGACTCTCCATGTCTTCTCACATCCCCAACAGACTCCACCAACTGGACCTCAGATTGGACACCTGGAAAAAAAGAATAATTTCCTAGTTATGTTGCATATAAAAAGAGAGAAATGTAAGAAATGTATGAATAAGAATAATTACCTCTGAGAACTGCTACTAAATATGACCAATAGAACCAAGGTATCATTTTTTGTACACTTGGATGGGAGATGGTATGAAAAGCATTCAAACATGCAGCTACCCTTTATATTTCTGCTTGCAACCTGGGAACAAAAGTGGTCTGGCTTATTTAGAGATGAAGCCATCCTGCAATTTACATATCCCTCAAAATAAAAAGCCTTCTCATTCCTTTCTTCTTCTCAGTTTCTTGGACGTCTATTGAAGATATATTTTAGTGATGGTTAGCAATTATCTAGAATAGCAGAGAAGGAGGAACAGGAATGTTTATGCAGAATGAAAGGGAGTTTTTGCAGACTTGATAAAACAATGAAAAGGAGAGCTTTCTCTCTGCCCCCCCCCCCCAAAAAACAAACTACTTTTAAAAGCCAAGTAGAAAACTGATAATTCAGTACATTTTACTTGGGGTGAGAACTTTGACATAAAAAATGCTGCAAGTGAGTTTACAAATAACTCTTATATTTTTATATAAGTATGACTTGTTTTATTAATTAGATACAGGGAAGGAATATTCATCACTTCCAGGGATGATTCTAATAGCCTGATGTATCAGTACATATACAGCATACACAGAATTAACTAGACAGAACTATTTATGTAGACATATTACAGGCAACATTAAAGAGGTAAAACATCTAGGTTCTTAAACTTTCTTAAAGTGTTGTTTCTTTTTTGGAGGGTTCTCAATAATGGACAGTAGAGTTGTCCTTCATTTTTCCTTGATTTTGATATACAAGTAGTCTTCAACTTATTATCTTAGCAAGTGAAGTTACTCCATCCACCTACCAATCTGAAGTTGTAGTTCTGTAATGAAGCCTCCCCATAGTCAAGTGATTGCATTTTGGTGCTTAGCAACTGACCTACATTTATAGTCAACCAATCAATCAATTAATCAATCAGAAAAGAGCTGGAAGGGACCCTGCTGTCTTCTAGTCCAACCCACAGCTCAAGCAGAAAACTCTATATCATTTCAGATAAATGACTGTCCAGTCTCTTCTTAAAAACCTCCAGTGATGAAACACCTATAACTTCTGAAGGCAAGGTGTTCCACTGGCTAATTGTCCTCAATGTAAGGAAGTT